CCCTAAGGCAGTGGAACCCCATCAGCTTCCACACCATCGGCCACTGTTCCATTATGTATGGATACAAACACGATTGCCATGTATCATTTACTCCTCCACCAGAACGGTGCTCAAACTATTGAAACGCAGATGCCAGTAAAATAACATATCTCTGGTGGCTTGTCTACCTGTCTCCCTCACTGCTGAGAAATAACTCGCAGCAGCGGTTAAGCTAACAATAAACACGGGAATTGACTTCAGTGGGAATGAACTTGCTTGACTGTTGACAAAAATCTAAGGTGATGCAACCTTCCCTGGGCTTATTGCTTGCTCAGGTGGCAGATGGCTGCTGCCATGCTTCTTTCTTCTTGGGACAGGGACGTGGGACAAAGGCCCCAGGCTGATGGAGGGGTCCCTGTCCCTGGGCACAGAGGCAGGTCGCAGTGTCCTGTGAAGGGCCAAGGCTTGATTCTCGTGGTTGGAACGAACGCTGATGGGGAGACAATGCTGTTAAGAGTGAGTTTGGGGAAGGCCTCTCCACTTCCTCCCTGCTCAGGCGGTTAGCAAAAATCAGGAAGGGGCTGCAGCTGCCTCCTTGTAGTCCTGGCCCCCTCCAAGATGAGATCGGGGCAAGGCACCCTGGAAGAGGTCTGCACAGCCAGGACATGCAGGCTGGTAGTGGGACACTTAGGGGAGTGGCCGGAGACCCCTGGCTTCAGCGTCCAGCCCCCACCAGCAGCCTGCCCACCGGGCAGCCTGCAGGGAGATGAAGGTAGGCAGGCTTCGGCAGAGGGCACTCAAGTCCTAGGAATCTGCACTCAGCTGACTGCAGGCATGTGCTCCGTGGTTTCCCGGGGAAGCGGAGATCATGAATCTCGGTAACTCGAGCCCAGGGCCTCATCACTCACTGTGATTGTGGGGGGATTGAGAGCTGGAGTGGATGAGTCTAAACAAAACACTCACACAGGGGACTCGTCCAAATGAGCCTGCTTGGCCACCACGGGGGACCGCCTCCCACCCCTGCAGGAGCCAGGGAGGGGTTGGGGCGTGGCCCAGAGCGGCCAGCAGCCTCAGGTCTCTTCCTACCCCTACCCCTACCCCCGCCTGTGAGCCGGTGGGAGACATGAATCTGGCTGGCAGCAACTCGGGCCAGCTCAGCCGTTTTCAGGGATGTTAATGAAATGCGGGAGCACTTGTCCTTTCAGACAGCGGCCCCTTTTATTTTGGAATGAAAAGCTGCATTAGTCTGAATGAGGTTTGGAGGCCTCATAAATCCGGCGCTGGCTGCCTCCTGGGGGAGCAAGGAGCCCAGGCCTGGCTGCTGGGTAGGCTTGTTTACCAACAGTTGGAAAAGCCACGATTGGTGGCTCCCAGTCCCCCGAGACGAAGTTTGAGATTGTGCCAGTGCCCATGCCTGCTGGGGGCGGGACCGCTGGACAGGCACAGGAGACAGGAAGAGAGGGTGGGAGGTTTCTGGGGACTACGGGGCTCCTCAGCTTGCTCTAGCAAAGGGCCCCAAGCCTATTCTACTTCAGCCTTTCTACAAACAGCCAGAAGCCACTGGGGGCCTCTAGAGGAGGTGACAGGTGACGAGGGTCTTCTGCAAGAGCCTGTTTCCTGCTCAGACCGTGCAAGATAAGACAAGAGTCAAGCCTGCAAATGAAGGAGGCAGATAGGCCTGCATGTAAAAACTGGCCCCTCACCACAGTGCCTTGTAGTGATGGTCAATAACTATTAGAGGGAGGGAGGGAGGGAGGGAGGGAGGAGGGAGAGACGGAGGGGGAGGGAGGGCCTATATCAGCTGTGTGACTTCAGCTCTCTCAACCTCTCTGATGCTCAGAGTCTTCATCTGTGAAATGGAAAAACCACACAGATCCTATCACAGCCAGCTGTGGAGAGGGTTAGATGAAGTGATGCTTGTACGGTGCATGGAGCGAGTACGTCGTCCAGAACATAAAAAAAACATGTAATTAATACTCGTGGCTGTCACTATCATTGTCATTGTTTTTGTTGTAATACTTCCCACCCTCCACTGCACTGGGAGGGAGCAGGCTGCTGTCAGTTTGGGGAGACCTCTGTGTTACAAAATGGCTTGTGTCTAGGTCCTGAAGAAAGCCCAGTCCTGGGCTAGGGGCAGCTAGCTCCCCTCTGACCCCAGGGCTGCAGCTGGCTGCTGGGTCCTGCGACTGAACCCACAGCCCCTGCAGCTGGAGGCTGTTTCCCACCACAGGCAACAAATGTGGCAGCACAGGAAAGCCTGCCTCCGCAGCGCTGGCAAACTCCCGCCCACTCTGAAATGCGCAAGAGCAAGGCCCAGCCGGGCTGCTTCCTTGGGCATGGTGAGGGGGCCCCAGGTGACAGGGCCACACTTTCCTGCCCTAGGGGCCTCAGATTCGCCCTCTGCCTTTCTCGATTCACTTCTCTAGTACCACTCTCCTGGTGACTTTCTCAGAGACTGTCCCCCCTCCTCCTGCTCCCCACCCTTCCTCTCTCCTTCCTACTGGCCTTTCCCAGGGTTCTGGTCTAGAGTGCAGATCTGTCCCTTCTCAGGAGTCAGGCTTCTACCCTTCTGCTTCTTCGCTTTCTTGGCCAGGCCACTGTCCCCTGCACCCTGCCCCTCTCATGGCAAGACGCTGCCTGCAGGATAACCAAAACCGAACTAGCATCTGGGCTCCCCGCCTTCATCCCCTAACCATCCTTGGGCACGGCTGGTGATGCCCTTTTGGCCCTGCGTCCTTTGCCTTGAGTTCATGTCCTGCCTATCCCCGTTCCATCCCCCCATCAGGACACTGGGATTTTCTTCCTTAGAGAACCGCCAGGACTTTGGGGTCCCTCGGAGCAACTAAACCAGCTGTGGAAGCCGATAGATGATGGAGATGAGATGTCCAGTCTTGAATGAAGAGCCTCCTCCAGCTTTACCCTGGAGGCCGAGGCCCTCTGCTCCTCTCCCGTGCTTCCCGCTTGCTGGTGCCCACGGGGGGCGGTTACTCTATCAAGAGGTGGCAGCTGCTGATTCTCTGGCTCTGATCTGCACGTCCTTCCCTCTGGTCTCTTGGGCAACATTTTCCAGTGGCTGCTTGGGAAACCAGCCGCTCCTGCTCAAAGGTGAGGACGGCCTGAGTCTGGCAAAGACAGACCACGGGTAACCTCCCTTTGCTGCTGATCTTTGCAGGTAGCCCCCAGACTGGCACGCCTTTTTCTCTTCCCAGGAGGACAGCCCTGGGCATCTGTCCTGCTCCTCCCTCGGCCACAGTTGCCTCCACTTCCGCTGGGAGGGAGTCCCCTCCTCGTTGGCAGGAACTGGCCACGCTGCAGTGTTCACATCCCCACACAATGCCACGGTCCCTTACGCCCAGGAGGGAAAGAAAAGATGGGGGGATTAACAGGCCAGATAGAGCTCCACTCATAGTCTATTTGTAAGAAAATTAAAGATTTGCTATTCAGATGTTGGGGGCAATGTTCACACCAGACAGCTGGCAAATGGGAGAGATTGGGAATGATGGAATAGATCAAATTATTTAAATGAGAAAAATAAATTCACACACAGCCTAGCCGCTGCTGGTGACAGATCCGTTTATTTATCTACTGTATCAGCACCGCTTTGTCTCTGTCAGAAAGGTCATTAAACTCACCTAACTGCGAAATTCGCAGCCTCCTGCTCCAGACTCGCTCCACAGCCCTTCTCTTCCCCTGACACCCAGCGCCACTTGAAAAAAAAATTATTATTGCTAATAAACAAGTTTTTTCTTTTAACCTTTTCTAGCTTGCTCTCACACGGGTCCTGCTCCATCCCACGGAAAATTACAGTTTCCCTCTATTCTTTCTCAGGGGGAAGGGGGAAGGCGGGCCAACCCCTCCCGCACCGGGGGAGAAGAGGGACGGGAAGTGCCAGGGCGCATCTCCGCCGCCCCTGTGAAAGAAGGGTTCAGCCGTCTTGCTCCGAAGGCCCAGTCGTTGCAGTGCGCGGTCAGTCCTGCCTTCCCCAGCAACGGCTCTGGCCTGGGTTCTCACGCCCCTACCAGCCCCTGCCCAGCTTGGGCAATTAGCTCTGAATTCTGTCTCCTTGAGCCCCAGCCCCAACTCTGATTCCATGAGGGATGGGTTGAGGGAGGGAAAGCGGTTCCCGGTCAGTTTCCGGCCAGCTGCCGCCGTCCAGCCGGCCCCGGAGGCGTGCGAGCTGGAAGGCGAGACTCCGCAGACGGCGGGCTCCGGGTCCCTCAGCTCCCCGGCGGCGCGTCTTCTCCAGCTGGTCGGGCCGCTAGGCTGCTGCCGTCTCCCAGCTCCCGGTGCCAGATCTCCTACTCCAAGCCGGGTTCCCAGGCTCCGTGCCCTCGCACGTGAAGGGACTGGGGGCGGCAGAGCGGATGGGGACGTCTGGGAATCGAAGAGAGTCCTCGTTCTCCGGACGTCCCCGAAACCGCGTCCAGGGTCCCCTTCCCCGCCCCTGCGCAGGTGTGAGCGCGCGAGTGTAGCCTCGGCGGGTGTGAGTGTGAAGTGTGTGTGAGCGGGGGAGTGCGCGGAGGGAGCGCGGGCGGCGGGCGGCGCGGGAGGCGGGAGGCAGGGCGCGGGGGAGGGGGCTGGGAGGGAGTGTGTGCGCGCGTGCAACTCCACTCCGGGGCTTTGTGCGAGCCCGGGTGATAGCATCGGCGGCGGCAGGAGGAGGAGCGGCCGGAGAGGCGTGCAGCCCGCCTGCCAGCGCCCGGCAGCCGGGCAGGTGGGAGCCCGCGCGGGAGCCGAGCCGACGCGAGCCGGAGCCGAGTCTGAGCGGAGTGCGGGCAGAGCCCAGGAGCCTCACTAGCGGGCGGCCCGTGGGCGGCAGCCGGGCGGGGCGGGCGCCGGCGGGGCTGCCCCCAGTAAGATGTGCGCGGCGCCGCAGGGCGCCCCCCACTCACAGCGGCGCTCCGGAGCCGGGCAGCTGGGCCAGGCGGCGCCTCGGGGGCTGCTGCGCGCCCACGCCTAGAGCTGCCGCCCCAGGGAGCCCGCCACGGCCGCGCCCCGGGCACGCTCGGCGGCGCCCAACGATGACCGCTCCCTGGCGGCGCCTCCGGAGTCTGGTTTGGGAATACTGGGCCGGGCTCCTCGTGTGCGCCTTTTGGATCCCGGACTCGCGCGGGATGCCCCACGTCATCCGGATCGGTAAGAGGTCCCCGAAGCCAGGGGTCTCCGTGCACCCGGGCCGGGGCGGGAATGGGGGCCTCTGAACGCGATCCCAAGAGATTTTACCAACCTTTTCGGGCTGCCGGGGTCGGGTGGCCACCAGGAGCTTTTTGTGGTGAGGACAAAGTTCCAAAGCCGGGGTCACAGGCCCTACTTATTGGGGAGGAGGCAGTCGGGCCGCTGCGGGTGAGGGCGAGTGGCCCTTGGCGCGCTCCTGGGAGGCCAGACCTATCGGAGTGCAGCGGAGCGTGCCAGCCCCAACCCGAGTACCGGGCGCATTTTCCCGCGACTGCCAGCACGACTGGCCGCAGACTGAGTTCTGGGACCCGGCTTCTCCGCGGAGCGGGAACCCTGGGGAAGGCGCCAACTTCTCTTCCCTCCTAGCTCCCCTTGGGCCCCTCGCCCCCACCTGGGGCATGGCTCTAGCGGCGGCGGCAGGGATGCAGGGTATGGCTTCGCATGACTTAGGGCAGCCGGTCCCCTCTCCCGGTGGTCGCCCTTGGCCTCGGTGGCCCTCATTTAGCCGGGTGGTGTGGGGCAGAGGAGGGGCAGCCCTCTAGGTCACTTCAGCTGCCCCTTGCGGGCGGAGGCCTCTCCCCCGCCGGGGGGCAGCGCAGGTAGGGGGCGGAGGGGGGGGGAGGGAGCGCTCGAGCCAGCCCGAAGCAGCTAGGGCAGGCGGCGAGAGGGACGCGAGTGGTTTTTAAAGTTAGCCGAAATCCCTCCGCAGCTGGCGGGGCTGCGCGCAGCTTCTGGGGCTCTGGCTTGTCTGCGTCTCTTCTCGTCGGAGTCTTTTACTCGGAGCGTTAACTTTGTTGTGGCCGTCCAGACACCCTGTAGCCAGCGCTCTGGGCGTTGCGGGGGTGGGGGTGGGGTGCGGGGGAGCCCTGCGTGTCCCAGGCGTGCGGCCACCAGGGGTGGGCCCGGCCTGGCCACGCGGGAGCCTCCACTACGCAGGCCGTGCACCCGCCGCCAGGCCGGAGACCGGGGCCGCCTGGGTTCTCGAGGCGCCAGCACCAGCGTCTGGCACAAGGCGGGCAGAGCTCTGCTGAGCCAGGGCCAGCTTCCTCCCCTCTGGCTCTTCTCCAGGTGCGGCGTGAGGGGTGCAGGGAACCCATGTCGGTGGTTTCGTACTTGAGGTTTTCCTAGGAGGCGAGCAAATCCTGGGGCTCTGTCTCCTCCGTAGCTCTCTCCTGGATCCCAACCCCTCTTGAATTCCACGTCTGGATGGGAGTAGACGCACACTCCTCAGCTCTGCCCAGGCTGGGGTCTTTCGTTCCACACCCCGGATCCTGGCAGGTGCACACGGAGAGGCAGAGGAGCCCAGTTACTGGACTCTGGGGACAGCCTTCACGGTCAGGCTTAACCCTTTGCAGCCTAAGGTATTCCTGGCAAGCCAAAAAATATCTTTCATCTCTGCCCCAGCGCCCAGCTTGGCCACCATTCCAGAGGCAGGCAGCCCCTTGCTGTGGGCCAGCACTTTCTTTATTCTCTCTTTTCCTTCCCTCTGGGGTTTTGGTTTTTTGGAGGGGGGGGAGGGCCTGCATAGTAGGGTGCCTTTGGAAGAAAAGGGGGGACAAAAGGTGCTATGTGCTCAGCGCACGCATTGCAGGATCCTCTTCGGCGATCCTCTGCAGGGGTGGGATTGGCATGCTCCCAGCCCAGCCTCGGCAATGGAGGTCTTTGGAGGCCCAGGAAGACAGGAGCAGGTGAGGCTGGCCTCAGAAGAATGAGCTGGAGGAGGCAGGGTGACGCACCCTCGCCTGCTCCTCATACTGCGAAATTGACTTGCACTGGGGGACTCCTCACTGCCCCGAGGGGAAGCCTCAAGCCTGCCCGCCCTCTCTTAGGTTCAGCGTGTAATAATGCAATTAAGGATGGCAAAGCCCTCTTCTCTTCTAATCTTATTCGTATTAAGCCTCAGGATTAATTAGCGTGTCGGCCCAGGCCATTTATATCTGAGAGCCTGGCCCCATTTGATTTTCAGCCCGAACTGGGGTGCTTGTGCGGGTGCCAAACGTGACTGCCGTGACTGCCGTAGCTGCGCCAGCTTGGACGGCGGATGGGAGGCTCTGAGACCCCTGGGCTTCTCTGGAGCTTCCCGGGGAGTTGAACTTCGGTTCTTCCCAGCCCAGGCTGAAGCCTCAGCTGGAGTCAGGGAACTGTAGTGGACGTGGCCCAGAGAGAGAAAGATTCTGTTGCTGCACCCCAAACCTACCGCCTTGGCTGGGCCCGATACCATCCTTTTCTCATCCCTCTTCACCCCCATGATCTCAGGGCTCTGGCTGGGGGCTGGGACTGCAGGAATTGAGGCCCCAGCAATTGAGCTCGGCAGTGCGCCTCAGCCGGCTGCGCTTGGAGCCGAATCCTTCTCCATCAGGCAGGCGTTGCCGAGCACCAGCCGGGGAGAGGGTTTTCCTGCAGGTGCGCAAAGGGCTCTCTGGGCTGGGAGCAGCGCACCGCCCCCTCTCTTTGTGCTTCTTTTGGGGGCTGAAATTTCCTCTTAGACAAGGAGATGGATAGCTCAGCAGTGTGACAGAGTGTTCAAACAATCCGTCTTGAATAGATGAATTGCATTGCTCTGTCTTTTTGTAATTGTGTCTATCAGAGGGAGAGGTCAAGGCATTGATTGCTTGGATGGTTTGCGAGTAACAAAGGAGAGTGAGGGAGAGAGAGTAATTGGATTGTAGTCTGCGAGGGAAAAATGATCATTGATTATTTTATATGAATATGTGGAAGATGTATTCTGCGTGTGATTATCCGGTGTTGCCCATGGAAGGTTTTCAAGGCATATTGTTCAGTATTTTATTATTATTATCATCGCTGTTATTGTTCCGATGGATCCTGGTCTTAACTCCTGGAAAGCGGTTCAATGCGTGGGTCTTCTCAACAACATAGGCTTCCGTGTGTGGCTTCATGCGGGGACCTGGATTTCCTGGTTATAGGACGACTCAGAAGCTGAAGTGCCGGGACCCTAGGCTGGGAGCCAGGAGGCCCGGCTTTTCTGTTCTACCTCCTGCCAGTTTCCTGGGCCACCTTGTTCAAATCTCACTCCGCCGCCGCCACCGCCCCAACGTTGAGCCTGTTACCCTATTTGTAAACTGTTCGGTTTGGGCTACTCTGGCTTCAAAGTTCCCTTCACTGAGGCTGGCGGGGACTGTCAGCACTGTTGTAGATCTGTTGTGTAGATTCGTGGTTAGATTCGCTGTGTTTCGTGAGGCTCCCTCATGTTGCATACATACAGGAGGGTCGGGGGCCAGCCTGGAATGTGAAGTGGGGACCAGACAGTGGTGGCAGCAGCTGGGGAGCTCGACTAGATGGTGGTGGTCTCTAGCTAGTCAGGGGTGAGGTTTGGAGCCAAATGACTGCAGAGACATAAAGCAGGTGTGTGTTTGTGCATGTGTGTGTATGTGTATGTGTGTGTGCATGGGGGGGGCTGGTGCTGGGGGAGAGGGAAAGGCTGGCTCAGCTCCAGACTCGGAGCATCTACAGAGTAGATCAGAGCCCAGAGGCCCCGAGCCTAGGGGCCCAGCAGGCAACTGCCGCCTATGCCAGGGGAGGGAGGTGCCTCCCCCAGAGCTCTCAGACCCGCTCTATCTGCATCTTCTGCCATGAGTTCACCCAAATGGTCCTAAGCGTTTGTCTCCTGAGTTTGGGAGCTGCTGCGTGTAAAACAATGAGAAATTTCTCGCAGTGACGGGTGATGCGCTGAAACATCACTGCCTTGTAGGAGAAGACAGGAGCTGAATGAAGATCAATAGGGTCTCCCCCCCCCCCCCCCCGGAAGTAAACAGCTTCACACAAGACCTGGGAGTGGCCCGAGGGGCCTGAGAAAGCATTAACTTGAGGAATTTCTGCCTCCACTTTCTAGCCCAGCTGCTCCTGTCAGCGCCGGCTTCCCTCCTTCTCCAGGTGGAGTTTAATTTCTTCTTGATGCCTGCCTTGCACTGCGCTCAATATTTTTTGACGTGGAGGCGATCTGGCATTTTTCAAGGTGGTTTATGCAGGGTGAGCCAGGCACTGTGTCCCCACTAGGCCCTTCCAAGGTCACTTGCATCCCCCTGGTTCAGGGCACCACAACCGGTTGCAGAAGTCCAGCGCTGCTGTGCTATTTGCTTTTTCAAAGAACTTTTCAGGGGCCACTGTTCATCCCCTCCCCTCCTCAGGAAAGCCAGGCTGCTTAGCTGCTTTTAGGATCCTTGGTGGGGCCTGTAAGCCTCCCTGAGGCACTGTGTTCCCATGAGTGCTCTCTGTCCCTGCCCCAGGAAACAGAGTCCCCTCTGTGGGGGAAAAGGCACCGATGTCCCTCTGGACACTAGGAAAACCTCTCCTCTTGGGAGAGGGGCAAGGCTTATGCAGAAGAGACGTCAGGGCTGTGTGGGGTGCTATTTTATGGGGAGACCTGGCTGTCCTCCACCCCGTAACAAACAGCTGCCCTTGCCTCTGCCTCCCACGGTTTTAGCCTGAGCCTCTTTTCTTGCTTAAGACCCTACAGAGGGAACAGAAAAAGCCGATGCTCCACTTGGCTGGGCAGCAGCGCAGAGGAGCCTGGAGCTCCCCAGGGTCTGCCTGGCAACAGAGAGGACCGAAGTTCCAGGATGAGGGCTCTTCCTCTGCGGCCAGCTCCCAGCAGGCCCCAGCTTATCTTCCCAGGGCTGGAGCTTTGGTGGGGAGATGGGCCCCACGAGTGGTTAATGCAGATGGGTATCTTCTGTGAGCTTGTTGGCTAGAATAGCTCTTCTCTGAGGTGCTGATCCCCAACAGCAGCACCAGGGGGCAGTGTGCCTGTGCTGAGGTGGTGGCGTTTGCCATGTCTCCTGCCTGGGACCCCACCTGGGTCTCTTGCACAATCACACTAATAAAACAACAACACAACAACAATGCACCAGCCACAATTTATTCGAGCACTTATCCACTGTTAGGCATTGTGCTAAGTGCTTTCCAAACAATGACTAGTAACGTGGGTGAATAGTAAGTGCTCA